AGCCTCTATGAAATGATGTCGTTGAACTGGCTTGGCATTCTTTGTGTGCATATTCAGTTAGCACTCCAACACAGTTTTTGCATAGTTCTGCAAAAGGATATGTACTGTTTTGCTTAAGCATTATAATCCAGCAGAACTGTACCATCAGGGATTTTCGACCCGCCAATCTTTGGTTGGATTTAGGCCCATAACCCTGTACATTTTTTTCAACTTGCTGAGAGTAACGTATGGTCCTGTAGAGGCAGATTGTGGTCTAAGCGAGAGGGATGTCTCACTGCAAAGTTTTGGGCTGAGACTCCCTCCTTCTTGAACATTGTGATTCTGTCTCCTTCCAGTCTAGATTTACAGTGGTGCCTCACCAGATGATGATAATCCATTCCACTGAAATCACTGTTTAGCGAAATCATTGTCTACTGAAAAGCATTTTCCTATTGGAATGCATTGAAACCTGTTTAATGTGTTCCAATGGGGAAGAATCATCGTTGTCTAGCGGAGATCGGCCATAGGAAAGCTGCTTTGCGAACCACCGATCAACTGTTTAAATAGCTGTCTTGCAAAGCTTAGATCCCGAAAACACCCGTTTTGAGAGTGCGGAGGGAGCTGTCAAAATCATTGTCTAGTGAAAATCAGTTTGCGAAGCAGGGACCAAACATTGTCCAGCGAAATTCCCCCATAGGAATCACTGTTTTGTGAATTGCTATAGCAATCGCAAAAAGTCAATGTCTAGCGAAAAAACTGTCATGCGGGGTAACTGTCTAGCGAGGCGCAACTGTACAACATTCCTGTGAGGCTGATTAAATAAAAATACAGTGGTGCCTTGCAAGACAAACACCTCACTGGATGAAACACCCACAAGACGAATGTTTTTTGCGATTGTGTTGGTGACTCGTAAGATGACTTTTTCTATGGCCATGCTTCGCAAGACAATTTTTCCCCCAAGATTGATGCCTAGCAAGACGAAAATAAGTCATTCATCTTGTGAGGTTCCCGTAGGAATGCATTGTAGTGCATTCCTATGGGAAACCGCTTTTTGCAAGACGAAAATTTCACAAGACAGCGCTACTCGTGGAACGAATTACTTTCGTCTTGCGAGGCACCACTATAAATAATTGAGCAATTGTTCTTGAATGTGGGGAGGGAATATTTGCATCAGGACTGTGGTGAAGAATGGAGGGCTTTAACTCTTTTCTCCCATGCCAAGTTTCCAAACAAAATACACTTTGCCACACCAGTGATTAGCATTTATTGTATGGTAAAGGAAGAAAAGAATTAAAGCAGACAAAGATGCCCTGGTGGTCTTATCTGTCATTAGTCATTTTATTAATGTTATTGCTTTTAAAAATTATTATTGAATTTTAAAAAGTAGCAGCAAGTGATATATAGAATGCCATATCTTGTTTGACCTTGAAGGTGAGGGACCGGCCTAAACGCAATTGGTAAAGTTTGTGACTGACTTTGCTCATGCTTTACTTTCACACCTCACTTTGTTTCTTTGAAAATTCCTTTGATGCTTTCCCTGAGAAGGAACTGAATTTTTTGTTTTGAGTGAAATTTAGAAAGATGTGGAATAGCATTCAAGATAAGTTTAACAAGTTATATTGAACTTCTTTTGGCTTTTCTCAGAATTCACCTGCTGTTTCACCTGTGGAAATATCCCTGCATTAGCTTTGAATTGTACCTGAAGCACGAAAAAATTCTATGGCAATTCTGTTCAAGATACGCTTCCTTCTCATCATTGAAAGTTTAGGGTAAGGGAAACAAGGATTCTGATGTAGAATTTAAAGTGCATGTGTGTGTGTGTGTGTTTAAAAGCCGGACATTTCCTTATCCTTGAATAAATGCTGAAATATATTTTGTTAAAAGTACATTATTTCAGAAGGCAATAAGGACTGAGAACAGAGATTTTTAAAATCCACAATAGCGATATCAGCTTAATAAATCAAAGCACCTGTTATTCCAGAAAGGTCACATCCATTATTAAATATCTCAGTAACATTGAGAGGCTGGAGAAACTCTTTCAAGTCCATTGTGTGCTCTATTTTAAACCTGTAGGAATTGAAGATTTAAAACAGCAGGCATGAGAAAGCATTTTCCCCATCAACTAAGATCTACCTTCCCTCAGAGCTAGTCTGCTGTGGCCACATCAGTGGAGCCAAAGCCAAACAAAGGAGGGTACATTTCTTTTCTTTGAGCTACCCTCTTCTCTTTCTCTCCATCCTACCCCCACTCGTCTGAAGAAAGAAAAACTACTTTTCCAAAAATTTGATCTAATCATTTGCAGAAGGCTTTTGAGCGTACAAGGGACGTGGTGGCGCTGTGGGCTAAACCGCAGAAGCCTGTGCTGCAGGGTCAGAAGACCAAGCAGTCGTAAGATCGAATCCACGCGACGGAGTGAGCGCCTGTCGCTTGTCCCAGCTCCCGCCAACCTAGCGGTTCGAAAGCATGCAAATGCAAGTAGATAAATAGGGACCACTTCGGTGGGAAGGTAACAGCGTTCCGTGTCTAAGTCGCACTGGCCATGTGACCACGGAAGATTGTCTTCAGACAAAACGCTGGCTCTATGGCTTGGAAACGGGGATGAGCACCGCCCCCCGAGAGTCGAACACGACTGGACAAAAATTGTCAAGGGGAACCTTTACCTTTACCTTTGAGCGTACAAGAGATACCAGCACTTGGAAATATTACTTTTTTGGACTAGGAGTCCCAGAATCGCCCAGCGACCATGACTGGCTGGGGAATCCTGAGATTAACTGCTCAAAATACTCATATTTTGAAACTTTGAGAGAGGCACGTGACTCGCAGATCAGGTGGCCACATGAAACAGAAGACATGGCTCCTCTTGCTTTTAAGGTTTTATAAAAGATATGCATGGATACATTACTTCCTCAGCCTGAGGCTACACACTTTTCTGGCAATGACTCCCACTGGACTCAAGAGTACAAACTGGAAGGGACTGGCATGAATATATAGCCTTGTACTCTTTGTGTATCTATACCTTCCATCATCTACTCTTCACATTTCTCTTCAACCTTTTGGTTATACAGTACTTTGTGGTTTCCTGGCGACCACATAACATAAAGCTAAGAGCAGGGAAGCCTGGTCTTTTTCACTAGGTAATCATCTCTTTCTGTTCAGCCTGCAGGGAGGGTGCTTTATTTTGCCCCAATTCAGCTAGCATCACTTTCCTATATATATATATATCACTGTAACCATCCACAGCAGTACAATCAATTATCCTTCAGGAATCCACATTGCACTTCCCAATTAGTTCATTGAGAAGGCATATGTTTCTGCATGCTTGCACACGCACGCACGCACGCACGCGCACACACACACACACACACACACACACGATGCTTGTCAAAGTTAATGCTGTATCAGACAAGTACTATGTCACTTCAGGGAAAAAAGGATGAAAGGGAGGGATGATCCCATTGGAAATTGGCAATCTCAATAAAGATGTCTGTTTCCCTCACAGTATTTTCCTGCTAGTTTTCTGCCTCTGCACATCTGTTTCTGTGTGTGCAAGCATGCAGAAACACATGCCTTCTCAATGAACTAATTGGGAAGTGCAACGTGGACTCCTGAAAGAGGATAATTGATTGTACTGCTGTGGATGGCTACAGTGATGTCACCAGTGGAAACCAGCAGGGACCCGGTTTGAAAAACATTGAAGCAAACCAGGTGTTCCCGCATGTATGGTTGCATCCTGAGTCAAGGAGCCTGGCCATTTTTAATAAGACGTGTTCGGATTTCAGTATGGCTGGTCCCACATTACCATCATCATAATACATTTTGTGGGTTTGTTGTATCTAAACATTTGTTTAAGTTACATACTCCACACAATGATTTTACCATGACGTCATATATCATATATGAGGGACGTGGTGGCGCTGCAGGCTAAACCGCAGAAGTGTATCTAAACATTTTTTTAAGTTACATACTCCACACAATGATTTTACCATGATGTCATATATCAAGGAGTTATCACTATCCATCAGTACAGGGCATTGTTTTGTTATACCTACCTGATCTTTTTATCTATGTCAGAGAAGATATAGATTTTCTCTAGGTTTTCTGTTTCAATATATTGTTTGGACCATCATTTTACCACATCCAATTTCTTTCAGTTTTTTTGTGTGTAATTTGTTGGATCTGAACCCATCTTTATTGTGTCATTTTCATCTCTCTTCCTTCAGTTCTAATATTCCTTCTGTCATCTATTTCTATTTTTCCCTTTAGATTTTTACTTTTGAGGCTGCCTGAGGTTGTATATTTAGTTTAGAACGAGTAGAGTTTGTGTCTAAGCTATAGAGCATGTGATCCTAAGGATGTTTCATAAATTCCCACCCTAATATATGGTAAAAACACTTTGTTCTTTAACATTTATGCTTTTTCCGGTTTAACTTTTTTTAAAAAAAATCTGAGGCAAACAACAGCAATAACAATATTATGAAAACAGACTATTCTTTTTCATTGTTTCTTATTTTTATTGTATATGAAATTGGCTGTATGGGCATTCCTAAGGCAAGATTTTCTCTCCCCCCCCCCCCATGTCTGTCTGTCCATCTTGCTCAGGTACAACAGGAATCACTAGCTCTCATTTAACTCTACAGAATTTCAAATAGACCGTATCTCCAATAAGCCTTCATTGTTCACTTAAGTAAGTATCAGAATGGAATAGGGAGGTTTTGAATATAGATGATGTTATATGTGAGATGTAATGAAATTTCATTTAAATCAAGCTTTGGCCGTTTCTTTGCAAGAAATTAGATTTACCATATTGGTACAGTACTGATGGAGGTGTTGTTTGAAGACCGTGAGAGCTATATACTGTACCATCGGTTTTATTGAACATATTGAGCAATGAGCAGTATAGATCAGTGGTGGCGAACCTATGGCACGCATGCCACAGCTGGCATGCAGAGAACTTTCTGTGGACACACGAGCCATAAGTTGCCGGATCGCTATTCTCCCCACCTGCAGCCGAACCTCAGGAGGCAGCTGCAGCTGCAGCTGCAGTACTGGTGCTCCGACAGGCAGCAGGCCAGGATCTGGAGCAGCGGGCACTAGCGGCAGATCCAAAGTGAGGTCTTGAGTCACCTCCATGCCTGGGATTCCTCCTTCCACCACCATTTCCGGTTCCACTGCTGCAACCCACCACCCACTGTTTTGTTTTGTTTTTCCTTCCACTTTGGGCACTCAGGCCCCAAAAGGTTTGCCACCACTGGTATAGATCATCTTGATTATAATGGACAGAATCCAATAGGTGTTCATGTTAGGTTTGCGTAGCTTGCTGCAGCCAATTACAGCGAATTGACAAGCTGCTGGAGCACATCTTGGTTGCAGACATAGATGTGCAACCAGGGACATAAATGGGACAAGCCCCAGCACTTCCCCAAGCAGCCACAATTATCTGTGTAAATTATACACATGTTATTTGAACACCAACAGACTTCTGGCCATTAAGTGTGTTATAATAAATGCTGTAGCCCATCTCCTCCCCCCCCGGCTTACACTTCAGGTAAAAACTCAGATTGCTTCTTCACTAGCCTATATATCATTTATGTTTTCTCCCATTGTAAAGTTGAATTGATCTATAGAAAAGCATTGCCTCCTTTGTTCAATATTTTCAGATTCCTTTTCCAACATTTCATAGATGAAAATCCAAGTGATATTTTATTGCACTTCTACTTTCACACTAAGAATTGCCCACCTTTGGTTTTTTAACAAACAGATGATGATTCTTTTCTTCCTGCAGTTAATTTGTTCTGCAGTAGAATGCCCAACATGCATGACCAAAATGTTTGTACATGTTACTGAAACAATGTAGGTCTTCATTATATACATAGTTCTCACAGGGAAGTATGCAAAATGTATGTATTTTGTATATACAATTTTCTCCCTGCTAGGTGAGATATGAAGACTATCTGCACATTTCTCACATTTAAGAAGAGAAAAATTCATGGAGTATTTTTAGTCAGCAAAACATGCTTGAGCAAAGTTCGCAAAAGTTTCAGCTCCTGCTTCATAAATCATCTACAAATGGAGCCAGATTAGGACAGATAGGCCTCTTAGAATAAGAACCAGGCAAAGATCCACAAAAGAAATTGTATACGTGAATATAAGATACAATATAAATAAAATAAAAGGAAGAAAAAAATGGAAAAACAAACTTGAGAAGTACTGCTTAGAGATCAAGACAAAACATTGTGCTTTTGACTGGGGACAAAATAAAACTTAGTGGCTCCACCTGAAGCATCTGCAGTGGGGGTGCGTGGAGTCTTACCTCTGTTGTAGAAGATTTCAGGCACGGCTCTGTGCAGATGTAAGATACATATGTGTGAGTTACAGAGAACACAAAGAATAATGTGGTCGTACACCAGCCTGGTTTCTAGTTTTAGAATGCTTCTTGTCAGACAAATCTGGTATATCTAGTGCAAAATTGGCTCTAATATAGAACCTAATTTCATTTACACAAAGTAGAGAAACTCCAACGTATGAACTGCCATTAGCTTGAATATCTACAAAACTCTCAAGTCTGTAAATCAATTTGCCCTTTTCAGTGTCTTAATTCCTGACTCTCCCACAAGTGGGATTTAAGATCAAATGGGATAATGAAGATGCCCAGACTACCAGAGAATTCATTACATACCTAGGAAGGCTGATTTCGACCTCATCCTCTTCCATCACTGCAAACCAGTCTTTTATCAGTTCGGCTGTAATGAGTTGTTCTACCTCTTCTATAGTCACTTTTTCTCCAGGGAGGATTAGAACAAAACTGAATTCCTCTCCTTTGTATGGTAGCTCCAAGACCTGGTAGCTCACATTATGGTCAGAAAAAATGCCTATAACAAAAGACCAAAAATCACAAGTAACAATTGTTCAACTGTAATAGAAAGAAATGACTCTCCATGCCAGAATATGTGCAAGAGAATCCCAAAGACCTCTGAATGATAGGATCATTTTGAGAATTTACATTCTTAGTCGGAATAACACTACATCCGTCATTTTTTAGGCCTTGCCATTTGCTTTATCCATGCACCTCTACGGGGTGCATGCTATCTATCCTTCATTTCAGATATCCACCACTTGGTAGAGCAAAGCAGCTAATTTTATGTGTCATGGAAGGTCCATGAATTCTTTCATTTTGATTATTAGGGATGGTGCACTTGTGGTTTTCTTAATTTTGTGTGAAGGTAATTTGGCTGATTCAGGGCATAATGAGGTAAATCTTTGGCGCAGACCTTTTGAATTAATGGGACCTTCGCCAATACCAACCTAGGTCTTACTGATTTGTTGGCTGGAAACCTGCTTGTGTAACACAGGATAAAAGTGATAGTGTCATCAACCAGGGGAACTTTTTGAAAAATCCTCTCTCCCATCACAAAACCTGTATCTGTCTGAAATAATCCTTTTCATCATTAGGAACTGGTGAGGGCCAAGGGAAAGGAGAGGGAAGTCTTTAATTACCAAAAATTGCCACTTTCAGATTGACTTTATTGTTAGGAAAATACGGGATAAAAATGAAATAACTGTACAGTGCTTTCACACAAGTTTCTCTCTGTGTGTGTGTTTCTCTCTTTGTGTGTCTAATAAAAGTACTGTTGAAGTATTGACTAGAGATGGGCACAAATAGCTTTGTGCCAGGTTGTCTAAAGTCATTGTCACAACACCACAGGTACCATGTGTTCCCTGTCCCCCCGGCCAGCTATCCCATTCACAACCTTGAGTGTGTTCCTCTTTCCCTCCTCTTCAGGTGATCTTCCAGTCTCAGCAGAAGCATGGACTTTGCCTCTTCTATGGGAGCCACTCACTCATATGAGGAGGCAGGGCAGGGATTCCTGTAGTGCAGCCCTTCAGTGGGTGGCTGCCAGAGGAGGTAGAAGAGGGAAGTCTATGCTTCTGCTGGGACTGGAGGATCGCACAAAATGGAGGTAAAGAGCACTAAGTGGTGAGTGGGGGAGCTGGCCAGGGTGGTGGGGGCAGGGAACGTGTGCCATTTGTATTGCCTTGATGGCTTTAGACGACCCATCATGAAGCAATTCGTGCCTGTCTCTAGTTTTGACACATGTAATACATTATTTTCTAGTGGTTTCATGTTGCAATCTTTATTTTGCAGGTTATCCTTCCTGTAGACCATCAGGTGGGTTTCCCAGCTCTTAAAATATGTTTTAAAATGGATGTGTACATTTATATATTTACCCCAACCTTATCAAAATGAATATTCAAAAATATATTTAAAACAATTAGAAGACTGCTCTGCAGGATAAAGTTATATTGACAATGGAATGGTTACTATTACTAACCAATAGACACTGACACTTAAAATTTGTAAAAACTTCCTTTTTCTTTCTTTCTTTTGCCAAAGTTCATTACAGAACATTAAAACATCTTCAGTTATCATAGATCCTTCCTATATATTTAGACAAAAACCACACCATAAGCGTACATCATCCCTTGCAGCTATAATCTCCAAGTCACATGGTAACAATGTGCTGTCCCACTTGTATATAATGAACGGATTAAAGCAGGGATCCCCAACCTTTTTGACACCACAGACCGGTTGGGGGAGATGGGGTCCATGTGTGGGGGGGCACCCCTCATGCGCAAAGGGGCAGTGCTCACTCACACAGGTGCACGGGTGTGTGAGCACATGTACGCATGTGTGAAGGGTGCTCGCATGGCATGCATGCACTTGTGCACATGTACAAAGGGGCAGGAGATGTTTGCAGGGTGTGTATGCCCATTCATGCACATGCGCAAAGGGGCTGTGCAGAGGGCATGGGGGGATTGCGTGCGGGGGGGCGGAATATCTGTCTCTGCGGCCAAGGCCACAGACCAGCACCAGGCCACAAACTGGGGGTTTGGTACCCCTTGATTAAATTGCGGGGGGGGGGGGGAATATCTGTCTCTGCGGCCTGGTCCATCCAAGGCCACAGACCAGCACCAGGCCACAAACTGGGGGTTTGGTACCCCTTGATTAAAGGAAGGGCTTCCTGCTCTTTGCCCTCTTTGGTGATCTAGAGGTCAGCTGGTACTGGAGGCCAGAAGAGGTAGCCCCCATACTTCTCAATGGACACCAAACCTGGCCATCCAGACAGGAGAACCAGAGTCAGCCATTATATGGGACCGTGTAGAAACCTACTGGTTCTTTGTGTCATTTGATTCCAGTTGAACTGGTATCTCCAATACTACCTGGTAACCATCAAAATGGTGCCACTAGAGCACAACAGAGTAACTGCTGCCTCTTCTGATAAACTATACAAGGTGCAAAAAAAAAAATTAAGGCATTAGCACCGAGCCCTTCAAAGATCCCAGGAACCTTATAGTCTAGGAGTGACATGACTGGCAAATTGAAAGTTATTCATGATTCTTTCACTTTTGGAAAGAAAGAGTGTGATATTCTGCTTTGTAATTTTATATCAGTTTATATTCAGAGAAAGAAGAAAGAGACACACAGAGAAATACCAAGTTGGAATCTTGACACTTCGAAATTATTTGTCATGTACCGGAGCAGATGATTTAATTGGAATGTCATTGTTGCATCTTCACTGTTTTGACAAAAGCGTAATTGATGTGCTTTGCCATTTCTCTTCAAAGCCATCTCTATTTTACCAGGGAGGAGGGAATCCAAACTAAAATACATTTTTAAATGATACTGTCACATAAGTACTTCAGCGCTGGGATTCACAGTGGGGGGTACAGTGCCACCAGAAGATTAAAAGAAATTAAATTTACCTCCCAAAAATAAGAGGAAATTTCTAATGGTGCATGAAAAACATGTCACTTGTCATGGGGAATATCCAGTAAATAGAACAATGGAAATTGTGGGGCATAAGTGAATAAGCAAAGAGGGATTTAAGATTCTTTTAACTGCAGGACTATCCTGTGGATTATAGTGAAGGATGAAAGGCACAGTATGGGTGACAAGGTTGCTAATTAATAGGTGCCCACCATCAGTTTTCTCTGATGTGTTGGAAATCTGAATAAGATTTCTTTTCCTTGTTTGTATTTTTAGCTGAAGTCCATGACCCAACATTAAAATGTCCAACATAATTGAAATATCCCCAGCTTCTACTGAGTGCCTAAGGAGCCTTCGTATATGACCAGACTTGAAAGGTGCAACTTGTACCAGCAACTATGAGTCTAAAAGGGGCCAAAGAGATGGAGTAAGGACTTGGCACGACGGCCAAATTGGAGTGGGATGGATCAGGCTAAATAGGGTTGCTTAAATTTACTATGAGGTGCAGTATGCCATTCGGTGTGATACTTGCATCTACACACAAGCGTCAGGTCATTTTGCATCAGGAAACGACATCACACCTCAATGGACTTTATTTGTCCCACCTCCCTTTAAAGGAAAAAAAGAAAGAAGAGCCCCCAAAAAATCCCTACCCTTTCTCCTCCCCCTTCTGGGAGGAAGCTTTGAATTTTTAATTTTTTTCTCAAACACAGTGCATTAGCGCTGCCCTAACTAGGCTTTTAATTTCCATTTCCCAGTATTGTTTTCAATTTCCCAATATTGCTAAGTAACTTATGCCAGCTTATGTGCATAGCCAACATGGACAAGTATAGGCCCAGAACTGGACAGAGCCTTCTGACCCCAAAAGAGTTCTGCTGCAGGTAAATTGCAATTACAGGCTGTGATCCAAGGTCTTAGCACAGTTGTGGACGTTTTCCAAGTTCATCTGTTTACTATGAACAGCCACCTTTGCCTTTTACCTTTATGTATGCCACACCATAAGAAAACATCTAAAATCCACTCAGGCAGTGCCTCTATTTGAACCAACCAGATTTGCTTAAAACTGGAGGCAAGCTTTTGAGATTTCCATCAGAGATGGTGTTATGAAGAGGAGGAGATGGGAGGAAAAGGAAAGGAGAATATATCTTTATGTCTTGATGATGAAGTCATGAAGCCTCAACACTCAAGAGTATTAAGATGGTACCTCAAAGGAGGTGCAGCCTTGAATAGGATGAGGCTGTATGTCATGAGTGCTTCCGAAGACCTGGAACCCGAAGGATTAACTGTGGCTGAAGAGAATGTGGAGAGATCAGAAACACCTGAACCGCCTCCAGATTCTCCTTCCACAGCAGACAGGCTTCGGGAAAGACTTAGGACCAGAAGATCAGAGGATCGCTCAAAGGCTGACCACAGAAACCTACGTGCATCTAGTCCTGAGTATTAACAGGATAGGAAGTTTTCCAGCAGCTCAAGGAGCTGTTTTACTATAAAACAGCTCCCAGTGAAGCCAGAAATTCTGTGGAAGCAAGGAGTCAAATCCTGGCTTGCATCCACGTTTCTTGTATCGTGTTCCTGACTCTGGACTCTGCCCTTGAACTATGCTGGTATTGGACTTCGGACTCTGACTCTGGACTACGCTGTGTATTGGACTCTGGACTTTGACACTGGATTTCCTTCTGTGAGTTGATTTATGGACACTGGCTTTGCATTCTTGGTATTCTTGACCCTGGACTGGTTTATCGGACTTCGGCTGTTGTAACCCCCAGGAACGCAAGATGAGGCTGTACTACGAGGTGGCAAATTATGGAACTTCAGATTTTTGGAGATAGTAAGATACTTAGATAGGCCAATGATAAGCATTTAAGTTTGCCAGGTAAGCAACATCCTGTTCCCTGAGGTTTAATGGCCATAATCTGAGAGTCATGGGGGTGGATCTTCTGATACCAGAGAGGTGGGCCTTATAAGGTCAGGGGAGGGGCAGGCCACTCTCAGGGCATGTGCAACAAGAAGGCTTATGGCTCACAACACTGGTTCTTCACTCTATACCTTGTTCCAGATGACATGGCTAGTCCCATGTCAGGATATTACTATGAGGTGGCCAATTATGGAACTTCAGATTTTTTGGAGATAGTAAGATACTTAGATAGGCCAATGATAAGCATTTAAGTTTGCCAGGTAAGCAACATCCTGTTCCCTGAGGTTTAATGGCCATAATCTGAGAGTCATGGGGGTGGATCTTCTGATACTAGAGAGGTGGGCCTTATAAGGTCAGGGGAGGGGGCAGGCCACTCTCAGGGCATGTGCAACAAGAAGGCTTATGGCTCACAACACTGGTTCTTCACTCTGCCTTGTTCCAGATGACATGGCTAGTCCCATGTCAAGATATCAAAAAGCCAATAGTGAGAGGAAGGGACAGGGAAGGGAACTGGTGATAACAGGGAATGTGTGTGTGTTACTTCAGCCATGCCAGTTGGAGTAACACACACACACACACACACACACAGAGAGAGAGAGAGAGAGAGAGAGAGATCTTCATGCTCAGCCAGCCAGCCATGATACTAGCAAAGAATGGGCAGAGATGGATGCCAAGCCTTTAAAGCCACCTCTCACACACAAAAAAAAATAAAACTTCCTCCATTTCCAGTGGAACTTGTGCTGAGAGTTTTCTCCCCCTCTGAGCCTTTAAAGCCACCTCACACACAAAAAATAAAACTTCCTCCATTTCCAGTAGAACTTGTGCTGAGAGTTTTCTCCCCCTCTGAGAAACAACAGTTCCCAAACACTTCAGTTGGTGTCCTGTGCCGTGGTAAACAAGTGATTGTGGGTTATTTAGCCCAGATCCTCTGACGGACGAAATCATGCTATCCAC